TGACTTCTACCACCGACTGCAATCCTTGTATACCAACCCAATACATACTACAACACTTGAGTAATTAAAAAACAAACAAAAATTAACTTTAGTTTAAATATATATACAAAATCTTATTGGATCCTTCAATTAAATTTAATAGGCCATAAAATAATTGCAAAAAGAAAGAAATAGAGAAAAACGGAGGTACAAGAATGCCTAACTAGATTTATTTTGGTAGAAACATCACATGATATATTTTTCTCCTAAACAGATACACAAAATTATAGATAATTACAAAATGTAACAAAAAAAACAAAGAAAAAGAGACAAAATGTGAAGTAAGAAATCAAATCATAGGAAAAGAAAATAAAAGAATGAATTTTTGTTCTATTATTCATAGAAAATGATCATTGGTATAAAATGAATTCTAATTTTTTTACATGTTTTAATATTTTACCTTTTATCCATGAAGAACTACCAAAAAAACATCATCCTATAAATTTAACAAACAAAATGCCAGTTGACTATAACATTATGATAAAAAAATAGAGCAAACATGAGAGATTAGAGATGAAGAAAAAAGGAAGAAAAGAAAATGTAAAATGGGATAAAAAATAATAAATAATTTTTTTGTTAAGTAGTTATCATCTTGACAAAAAAAAAAGGGAACATGGCAACAATCTTAGTTAGATTAGTTTTAAAAAATAAAAAAAAAGTGAGGGATGACAGTAGTCACTGCAAGAAGAAAAAGAAGAGATGGAATTGATTTTCTCAAGGAGAAAAAATATTTTAATCCTTTAGCCCAATTGAATCAAAAAAGGAAAGGAAAAATTTAGGTAAAATAATCAAAGGTCCACTTGTCAAAAATATATACAATACATGTGTCAAAAAGATGGTTAACTACAGTAACTTGGCTTTCTTTTTATATACACGGTAGATAGTATAATATGCAAGTGATGCGACAGCCAAGAACGCAGTCTGAGCTGAGCTGCTACAAACCGAGCTGGTTGGGAGCCACCGAGCTGAGAAGGGGAGGCCGAGCAGAATATCCTGCAAAGAAAGAACAACGGCAGGGCTAGAGTTCCCGGAATTGGTCAGACGGTCAAGTCAGTAGAGCTTATGAGTAGGGGAACAGTAGAGAGTACTGTAGATAGCGTACCTTGTATTGTCGTGTGGTGCAATATTTATAGGCTTCAGGATAGTGGTTTCCATATAGGCGTACGAGTCTCCTTAGGGTTCGGAGTCCTTCTAAGATTTTGTATGTCAACCCCTAAAGGTTCGGAGGCGACGGCCCACTTGACCCACTCTATGGAGAGGCGACGGCCATGGCCGAGCTAACCTCCCTCTATTCTGGGTTGAGGTGTCCGAGCTGTGGGATCTCTATTGCCGACCTGACACGTGTCACGCGTGGATTGGTCCCACTACAGCAAGCAATCGTTTGAGTGAAGTGGGAGTGGGGTTCCAATTTTATTACTACTACTTACTAATATATATATATAGCATTACACCACGATTTGACGATGGGCTTCCACCAGAAAATAAAATTACTACTCTCCTCTCTATGGTTTAAAAATTTCATGTCACTAATGTTAAATCTGTTGGAAGAATTAACTTTTTTTTTTTTGCTTTTTTTGAGGGAGGAGGGGAGTGGGGATCTTGCAGAGTAGGGGGAATGAATAATAAGCACTGTCATATCATCATTACAATGATTTGCATGTGAGGATTATATAATAAGAGAATACTGCCACAAATCAATAATCATATAGCTAGGTAGCAATGGAGTACACGCATCAGCATGTGCGAGACCTCGATCCCCAGAGAATGCCATGTTATGATGCTAGTAATGTCGTGGTGCACTGCAAGGAAGGAAGGAGATCTGAACTAGAAAATTTTACATTCAACTTGTATTTTACGTCCATCCGTCCTCTCACAAATTAACCTAACTTGTATTTGCATCCTCTCTTATTACGCTAAATCCACTCGCCGGAGACACCTTCTACCTTCTGTTCTGCACATTCTAGATGCATCGGAGGAGGTCATCATTCCTCATTTATTTGACTTTTAAAGTCTGCACAATTCAGATTGTCAGCGGTGGCAGTTAACCGTAGAAAAAGTTCGTACTAGTAGTAACTAAAAAAACCACTCATCAATAATAATAATAATGTATCCAAACAAACCCATTAATATTAATACCAAGTGACGGTGGTGGGACGCCAGATCGAAGATTAAGAACAAGGGGTCAGTCAAATCATACTTACTTGACCTTCTTCTTTTTCTTTAACTTTGGGGTCGCATCTTGATTTTTCCGTTTCACATTAAATTGTTAAGAAAAAAGGTCGTAGTAAAAAAACTGACCACATTTTAATGCAATGCAATGCAATGAAGAAAAAGAAATTTGCAATCAAGAAAAGCAACGGGTGCAATCATCACATGCTACCTTACCTAAGCTTCTGATGAGATCAGACCTGAACTCGAACTCTGAATCGGCACTCCAATATCTTGGTTTTGCCCATTTTGTAGGCTGAAAAAGGAAATTGGTTTTCACATTTTGGGAGCTTTTCCTCCAAAAAAAAAGTGTCTTTTTTTTTGGGAGTTTTTCGCGGACGGGACGAATTTTGGGCTGAGATTCATGTTTATTAACGGGCGTAAGTTTATTAGGATCCAAATTTTGTTGTGAGGTGTCTGACAAGTCTGCCATTGGGCTTGTCGGCATTTATTGTGATTGGACTGCAGGGCATATGGGCAGTCCGTTGTCCACATCCGGTGATGTTTGCACAGCTAAGAGATAGCGCTGCTGCAAACCGACTGATGACATCTTTCAGGATGGTTAACATCCATGAGCTTGTTACAACGGCTTTAGCTGGGCAAGTGGTGGAGATTATGTGTCCATGTTTGGATTTAAGCCCAAGAAAAGAGGCGAAAAGATCAGCTTGAGTCTGGTGAAATGGAAATTCTTACCAATGATTAATTTGTTGCAGAGTGTACAGGTGGGAGTCTGGATGGACAGTTTGATTTCATTACCGAGAATTGGACTCTCATGTTTAGAGTGATACCGCGAGTCGAGTTCGAGTAGCACCATACTCGAGTTCGAACGAGTATATAAATTTCAGTTCGAATTCGACTCGATATAATAGAAATCAAATTCGAACTTGACTCGTTTGAACTCGAGTAAATTGCAAGCCTTATCAAACTCGAATACTCAAATTCAAACTCGAGTTTTTGTTTTCTTGTTTTTAATTTTTTACATTTTAAATTTTATTAGATTACCATTTTGCTATCCATCACTTTTTTTTTTACTAATCATTACTTCATTTAAATTTATTAAAATATAAACCCCATAATATTTATTTCATAATTAATATATATATTATATAAATACTCGATTAAACTCGTTGAGTACTCGAGTATTTACGTCTGATGCTCGAACTCGACTCGTTACAATTAACTTGAGTTTGAACTCGATTTGACTGAGATTGGGCCAAACTTTTGACCAATCCACTCGCAAACTACTCACGAGCCGCTTCACTTGATAACTCCCCCAGTCATGTTCCAACTTGTCTCCTATGCATGGAATGCCGATGACCATGGTTATGATGCGAACAAAATGCCGCAGGACATCAGAGGCCTATACTCGATTGAAGAAGAAAAACAGGAATGAAGATACCAGATATTCATTTTTTATTGTTTCGTCTTTTTGGGTACCGCAATATGGTAATGGTAGGAAGTCTGAAAAGATTCTACTGCCTTTCTTTTGTACTACACCCATATCCGCTTGAAATGCTGTTCTCTGGGATTCTGTTTTTGTATACCCTGAATATGCAATGAATAATATTACGTTAAAATAAATGTATGTCTCGAAGTTTTCAAAAATTAATATAGTACTTGAACACTTAGATACATTAATTTTTTAACATAAATATTCATGCATATTTATTACTTTTAAAAATAAATATGTGTTGAAGAATATTATTTTATCTTTTCTTAAATTATTCATACATGGATAAATTCACCAATAATACTACTATAAAAATGCACTGGGCTAATGCGAGGAAATAACATGTACTAATACTCATCAATGGGCTGTCCTGTAGGCTTTGAAGTAACATGTACTACTCATCAATGGCAAAGCCAAGCCTTCGAACCCACAAACACAACTGTGCCTAACAATTAGCGTGTTTTGATAGTACATTATTTGAGAAAATTTTATGAAAAAAAATACTGTAGCATTTTTTTGATATGATGTATGTGAGATAAAAAGATAATTGAAAAATGTGTCGATGATACAAGCAAATTAATATGTGTAAATAAGGTGTAATAATTTACAATCCAAACATACAGAATGAAATTAACAATGCCCACATAAGAGCCTATTTGGGTTCATCTGATTTCTTTTGATGCAAAATTTTTTGGTTTTTTAATCTAAAAAAATTTCTTGTTTTTACTAGTTAATTATTTAGCACGTGAGTTATTAATTCTTAATTTTTTTGGTTTAAGTTAACTACTTTTTTTTTAATTTTTGCTTTGAAATTTATTTTAACGGACATATGACTGGATGTGACTAAATTTTGCTTGTAATTGGAAAAAATTCTTCAAATGTTCTAATTTGTTTTAATTTGTATACAGTGGGGGTCAAGTATACTCTTGCCAAAAGTTTAGAACTAAATTTATTTTTGATAAAAATTTTAAGAATTGAAATTGCACAAAAACTAAACATTAAGGACTAAAAGTGCATTTTTCCCAATTTCAAAGAGCTTATTGAGATTAATAGTTATTGGATCTTAAGAAAGTAAAAAAAATATATAATATAATATTTATGAAGAAAAAATAATAATATAATAAAAAATGAGACAAAGAGTGACACATAATAATAATATGGGATAGGAGATCCGTTGCGCTAACTAACGTTGTTTAGACACTATTTTGCGTCCTCGAAATCAGCAGAATTCCGGATGAGGGCTGACTGATGACACTACACAGCTACTTTTAGTATCGGATTCATTTACCATAAGCCACCTGGCTCACGATCCGTGCCACCCTTCCTATTCTCTAATCTCTATCTCTCTCTCTGTACTCTGTGAGGACTGAGGGGTGAAGTCTGCTGGCAATTTCCAGTGCCCCACACCACACAACCCCTTCACTAGTAGCCACCAGTTCTCCTCCAGTCCCCATATATATGTTCCTCTGGCACTGGCTGACAAAAAGCCCAGCGCCAGAAGCTGATCTCTACCAGTTTGTTTCTCGAATTATCACCCCCTTTGTGGGAAATACTTTTGTGGTAGTACCCCTGCTACCTAGTGCGATAGCCTTTGTTTTCTCAGCGGTGATGGAAACTCTGGCAGCTTCATCCGCGAAGCTACTTGTTTATGTGGAGAATCAGAATCCGAGAGACAAGCAGACCAGTACCGGTTTTTCGTGCCAAGCTCCGACAACAAGAGCTGCTGCTGCTGCTGCTGCCCGGAGTAGACCAGAAATTCGTTTTCTTCGATACCTGAACAAGCATGCCAACTTTGGTTATTCATCTTCACTTTCGCTTTCCTTTCATCGGAAAACCATTCACCCCATTTCTTCTGTCCCTGCTCTGTCACAGGTGATCTCCCTTTCGCTTGCTCAACTATTTGTCATCAACTTCCCGTACTATTTATTGCCACCATGTGTTTTGCTAACACCCTCTCCTAACGGATGTACTAATGCTTTTTCTTGATTCCTTATCAATCCTCATTTAAAGTTTCTTTTACTTGATTATATTGTCGCTTTTATTTTCATCTTTTCCTTTTTTCTTTTCTTTCTCTTCGACTTGTTCGTGTTACTTTCACGTTATTTATACCTGATCATGTCGATTTTCTAGCTATTATCCAACAATTCTGAAGATTTCTTTTTTTAGAATAACTTTATACCACTCTTCAATTTATCAACCAAAAGGTTTAGTAAAGATTGTTGCTTAACATGCACGATGTGAAGAAATTCGAGACTTTCACTTTAAAAAAAAGATCTCTCTGTTACCTTCAGGATAATAGATTCGTAACAATAATTCTTATTAGGAATCCCCAATTGGAAATCTGACCTTGGCTTAATAGAGTTCGCCTGGAAATTTGGAAACTAACCTGAAATTTGAATATATTCTGCCATGTAAATTTTAGATACTGGTTCAAAACAATGGAGGGGTGGAGCAAAGCATGGGATTGGAGGAGGAGTGGAGTTGGAAGATAGGGATGGGCTTTCGGCTCAAAGGAAAAGGGAAGAAGGGAGTGGGAATCAATTTCAGTGGTTTTAATACAAGATCGAGTTCTAGGAAATATATTTCACTTTCTTTGTCGTTCTTGTATGTTTAAACTAAAGCAGATTTCCAGGAAATCGGCTTCGTTGCATCTTTTTATTAATGTCAAACGGCAGATGTTTTTTATAACTAAAAGTTCTTTGTTCCACTATGCACTAAAATGGACTCTCTCACGGTTTCAATATTTTTATGGTATCGTAGTAAATTTTCCGTTCCTCTAATCCCCTCTATGACTCAGCTAAAATACTCTCGGTTCCATGGAAAAAATTTGACACATGCATTTATACGTATGGCATATTAAAAGATGTTCTGATCCCACCAAATCTTCCCATTATGCAGACTAGTGCTGGAATTGAAGAAATTCGGGCAAAGGATACAAGTAAGTGAATTTAACTTCTTGGCAGACCTTGTTATCCCCTCTATATTTAAGGGGTAGACCTTTGTCACCTGAATATGTTTCTGTCTAACAGCTCAGTTCAAAAGTGTTCACGTGAAGTTCCAATTACAGAGGGAATGCTTATTCGGCCAGCAATTTCTAATCGTTGGGGATGATCCTATGTTTGGATTGTGGGATCCATCAAATGCAATTCCGTTAAACTGGTCCGAGGGGCATGTATGGACTGTTGAAATGGTAAAAAAGAATGCGTATATATGTTCATTTTCTTTTGGCAGTGAATTAGAGGTATGCCTTGATTTGTTAAGACTGAATAGTTAAAGGGTTTATAATCTTTTCATGGACTAGGATATACCTTGTGACAAAGTGATGAAGTACAAATTCATCCTGAAAAGAGGTGATGATACCATCTTGTGGCAACCAGGCCCTGATCGAATTCTGAGGACATTGGAAACCTGGAAAACAATTACTGTTTGTGAAGATTGGGACAATGCGGAACTCCAAACCCTTATTGAGGAGGACCCTGTTGCACATCAAGAACTTCAAACCCTTATTGAGGAGGAGGACTCTGTTGCACATCAAGAACTACAAACCCTTATTGAGGAGGACCCTGTTGCCCATCAAGAACTTCAAACCCTTATTGAGGAGGAGGACTCTGTTGCACATCAAGAACTACAAACCCTTATTAAGGAGGACCCTGTTGCACATCAACTTACGGAATCAAGAGAGAATTCAGAAAAACTGACAGTCGTAGGGAATCTGCTTCAGCCAAGTGGAGACCCTGAGGCACTGGCCAGCACAAATGGCTATGCACAACCGGCAACAAAACCACTGTCTGAGAAACCTGTGACTGTTCCTGTTGAAAATAAAATTGAACAACATGAAGAACAAGCAGTTGAATTTAATGAATTTGCTGGTGTAAGCTTTAGTTCTAATCCAAACGAGATTGTAAGTTTAGGAGTAAATGATCACCCGAATTTTAGAAGGTCAGAAAGCACTGAGAATTTTACAGTGCCGAAGGATGAGAAAAAACTTGATACCAGTGCTGCTATGCCTGTTTTAGTACCGGGTTTGACTCCAAAACCAACAGCAGATATTGAAGAATCATCTGCCAGTAAAGCGGATCCACACATCAGTACTGCTTCATCGGTGGGATCCTACAAGTCTCAGGATTTCAGTGTGCCGGAGGTAACTGCTTAGTGTCAGTCACGTTCTTTCTTTGAATTTCATCCTCTTTCACCAAACATGAAGTGATCCTCTTTTACATCTTCTAGCAATTGGAAATAGAGTAGAGGCCTTATGCTAAGGCAGGTGGTTATGCATTGTGTCTTCTTATTTTAAAAAATAAAGAACAGGATGATGCATTGCAGTCTTATCAACTGATGTTCAAAGCTTGCACCTGCGTTCTGAGAGCGGCAATAGCTTCAATTACTAATATAATAAACCAAATAAATATCTGAACAACATCTGCAGCTAAAATTTTTCCTTTTCATTGCCAAAGGTGTTTATTGATCAATATAGATGGTCAGCAATAAACTGTCAAACCAATAATTCAATTTTTATGGTACATCGGTTTCTATAGATACAAGCAGACATAGACTTTATGGGAAAGAATCGCCAAAAAAGATAACAATCAAAAGAAATTATTTTACGGATATGTTAAGGAATAGAAAAAGTTTGGAAAAAAAAGAATAACAAAATCTTTGTTTTTATTCTATATTTGAGTTATTGATTCAATTTTCACATATCTTTACCCGATCGAAATTTCTTTTTCTAAAGAGAATATTATTTCGTAATCGACATGCAATCTATAGCTGCAGAATAATGCACCTTGATTTCATGTATAGCCTGTCGTATTTAGTTTGTTGCATCTCCATGGTACTAGCACCATCCTTCTGAAGATTTGTTGCTTCTGGCTTGATGGGATGAGTCTAAGCTAGAAAGCTAATATCAAATACAATCTCATTGAGCACCATCTTGCAGATTAACCTTGTTGTCTGACGCATATGATGACATTTTGCTCATCTGAACAACTGAAATTGCAGCTAAATTTGAAGGAAGAACCTGATATTCACTACCCAGTTGCTGAGGAAGAAACTGAGACGTTATTGTTAAATGAGAACCTTGAAATGCATGGCAAAGGACATCTGCAAATGCCGCAGTTATCTGAAGAAAAGGACCAGCCTGACTATACCGGGGGGAGAGACTCTGTCCCGGATAATGACATTCAATGGGGTCGAAGAACTCTCCAACAATTCCTTATGAATTTGGGCTTGTTATGAGTTGTAACGTATTGGTGGAGCTACAATAAGGTAAAATATGTAATAAAGCCTGTTAGTTAGAAATTATTGTTATCCCATATGAAGGGATGCATGTAGTAGTCATTGTGTGTATAGGGACTTAATATATGGTCCCAGACTCCCACGGATGGTTTCTAGTGTAGCTCATGGAATGGGCTGGGTTGATGAATGGTGATTCCAGTTTGTATACGAATGAAAGGTCCTATTGCTAGTTACACATACATGCCTCTTTTCATTAAGGCTCAGATGTTGATGCTGGGATGCAAACTGCAAGTGGAGCAAGAAAATGCATACTTCCTTAACTGCGTTACTTTTTAGAGCCATTCGTATGCCCCCGTCATGTTAGCCATACAGGCATCAGCCAATCGGTCTCAAGAAATTTCAGGGCCTCGCGGTTTCTCTCCGCCTGTTAAAGATTTTTGGATGTTTCTTTCCACCGCCTATCAGGTGAAGACCCAGTCCTTTTAGGTTCTTTTGCAGGACTACTCTTTAGAACTTGCATCCGAAGGATACAAGCAGTCCTTTTGAGGTTTGACTTCATCATGAAATGGAGAGTGCAACTGTGTAAGAATTACTCGAACCGAAGATCCTCCTCCAAGCTACTTTTCCTAACCTACGTCTTTTAAGGGAATCTAGTCCGTTAATTGCTGAACGTTCTTCTTAATTTATGTATCAGCATTATAATTGGAGATAATTTCATAAACCTACCCTGAGGTATCTGACAATTTCACTGAGTTCCTTTGAGATTTTAAAAATTACACACATCTCTCCAGATTTGACACTTTTGTTAGCCAAACCTTAGATTTGGCCGATTTTAAATGAATATCCAGAAATACCGACCTTATAAAGTTCAATTACTTTCTAAAGCAATAATAATATATTTAGCATTTATCTAAGATAAGATTATCAAGTTTTCAATATTAAATTTATTATTTGATAAGCAATTGTCTACCAATTATGATAAACCACTTTTAATTATGCTTTATTGAGGATACATACTTTTCATAAATTGGAGAACAAACTACCATCATAATTATTTTAGAATTTGTGCGTTTTTGTATTAGTGAAACTACCATAGTTTGATAGTAGTTTTGGCTCTCTTTTTTTCTTGAGTTATTGTTGCTTTTGATATAAAACAAAAAAAGATTGACAAATAAAAATCCTAAACTAGCCTTTTACTTACTAAATAAAAATATTCTTAAACTATTTTTTTACTTCAAGAAAACCATAACTTAAAATACAATTTCTAGTAGTACCACCACATCATATTGCTATAACTCATAAACATAAAAAAGATATTTATAAAGAAATACACTTGCACTAGTTTAACTCTATATGCTTATGACCAATTTCTTATAAACTTTATATTTTTTTAAGATCTTCTCAATCTGTGCCCAAACTTTTAAATTGTACTGATTATTATAAAAATCAATTCAAAATAAGCAAATAAATCATACTCTACTATATCACAATTAGAAAATGTAAAAGATAAATACAATTAAATTTATTATAATTTATAGATAAAATATTGCATAGTCATCCAAAAAATAAGTAAGAGAGAATATTGGAGAAAAGGGAGAGAGAAGAAAGTGACTTTTGTTTATTTTTAAAAAATTTTTGAATTTCATTTACTTGATATGTCAATTATGTATCAAGTGAGGGTTAATATAATCTTTTTACAATTATTAGGGGAGATAAGTGATATTTTTAAAATTTCAAGGGTGCTAAATGATATTAGGAGAAACCTCAAGGGAGGTTTTTGATATTATCCCTTAAATGTATTATTAAAAAAATTATTTTTGGATAGAGAATATGTCTTCATTCCAATATTGCGCTTTTTTTTATGTACCTTTTCGTTTTCATAACAAATCTAGTTAATCCCTTGCACTTTTGAGAACTTGGCCAACATAGTTTTGTCGTCAAGAATTGTGGGATGTTAACAAGATTGAAAGACCTTTTAATAGTTTTCATATCATTAGCCAGCACAATAAGCATAAAATTTAGAAATTCACAGACACTTTGGTCTCTAAAAACATTTCATATGAGTTTGTAAACAAAATTTTAAATATGTTTTTTTCCTACTTTAAGAAATTCTAACAATTTGAAAAACTCCTCAAGTTGGCTATAAACACTTTATAGTAAATTAATACATTTTTTTGGCTTCAAAGCACCATAACTATACTCTTAAAAATAAATTATTTATACCTTAAAAGCACATGCTATTATATTATATCCCACTAAAATTACGCAGTCACACAATTTGTCTCTTGATTTCAAGCTTTTCTTAATATACTTTTAATTTTGAAAAAAAAAGAGTAGGACAACAAAGGGCACTTTTGTATTGAAAATATCTTCTCTACCCAAAAATGAGGCTTTTTTTTTAAGTGATATATCGAAATGGGTTAACAATGTTACAAAAGGTCCAGTAATATTTTTTAGAAGTTCAGATGTGATAGGTGAAATTGTTAGCAACCTCAAGGGAGGTTTTGAAATTATCCCTTACAAAAAAAAAATTATGGTAAAATAACAAGAATGAGCTGCATTTGAATTAAACAACAGACTCGATAAGATTTCAAGGCTATAATTAGGATTGCAAATAAATCGAACTGCTCGCCAGCGACTCGAACTTAAATTCGATTCGAGCTTCGATCAAGATCAAGTTGATCATATCAAAATCAAGTTGAAAAATACTAAACTCATTAACTCGCCGACTTGAGTTCAATTTTATATATATATTTTTTATTTTTTATCTTAATAATAAAATTACTTATATATCTCTAATATTTTATTATTTATTAAAAAATAATTATTTGATTTATTTTTTAAAAATAAAATAATTATTTTTTTTATTTTTTTAAGTTTGAACTCGAGCTTTACATTTTGAACTGATCGAGTTCGAGCTTTATAAACCTAAGATGAGACTCAACTTGATTAGGCCAAAACTCATCTTGGATCGACTTGTTTGCATCCCTAGCTATGATCATGCAATGTCAGTTATGATTAACCAATGAAAAAGAACAATAGGGAAATCTCTCTGAACAGGTTAATCCCCTTGTCGATTTATGATTTTTGAGTACCAGAGAGTACAAAATGATCTGCACATACTTCAGAAGTTGACAAACTGATGGGGCAAGTATTTAAACCCTCCAGCCTGAAAAGACAAATGAAAAAATAACAACTTTTTTTTCCGTTTTGGTGCAAACCTAAGATACAAGACTCCCGCTGTACATGCTCCTCATCTCTCAGAAGACCTCAAGAGTGCAACCTCAAAGCTGCAATTTCAGTCAGCAGACCAGCCCAGCAACTATCCAATTTTCAAGTTCCTTCTCCGGAAGACCTCAATTAAGTGGATTTAACACCGTTTTGATGCTCTGAAGTTAATGCAAGTCGCAAATCATGAATAATTCTTCCTTCAAGCTTTCTTTCTTTGACTTGGGGGCAACCTATGTATGCAAATACAGATGCAAGTAAATATCTGTACTTCCCCAAGAAAACCAAGCTACAGACTCTGTCCACTCTACAAGTCTGTTGAATGTTCTTAGGACATGCACCAACATGGTTATATGACGCTAGCCCATTATAAGCATCCGCCTAAAATTGACAAAGACAATCACTAGAGGTACAATAAGATATCCACATTTTACCACAATTCATGCTCTCCAATGGCTGTTTTATGTACGCTGTTATGGATTATAAACACATTAGAAGCATTAGCTTTATTTAGCCAGTCATTTCTCAAAATTAAAGACACTATCAAGTAGAAAATTTATCTGATAGAAAATGGACAAATCAATAGTTCAACATCCAAGGCTTGCATCCTCTCCCCCAGCCAAAACCCAGCCTCTTGTCCACTGACCTAATACCAAAATAATTGTCCCCTTCGAGTATAAGAGATGATAATCAAACCACAAGAACGTGAACTTAGAACCTTACTAGGATATTGGCTCATTTATCCAATTGGCAATTGACTGCAGAAGAACCAGCACTCCCCTGTGACAAATCAGCAACTCATAAGACATTTTCAGTATGTAGATGACAAAAAATAGCCCACTAGGAATTAAAGTTAATAAGGGGAATTATAACTTGAACAGAAACGATGCAACTTTCACCATGTTTTCAGTGTATTCCAACAAAAAGAATAGGTAGAAAAGAGATTACTGCTAATATCAGTTTTGTCTAACACAATGTACTACTATATGTCACCACAAACTAGTTACTTAGGTAACAATAACACATTGGTCAGCCACCTCTTAGTCAAGATTGTTATAATGAAAGCAAAGCTCATAAAATGCATTTGCTTGATAATCTGGAAAGACAGAACACAAAGGAGAAGCACCATGATAATCAAGAAAGCAACCAATACCACTGTTCCATACAGGACAAATCATAGGCTGACAGCAAAAGAGAAAAGGGAAAACAACCACAAACAAAAAGGACAATTTTTTCCCCCTGCAGAGAGCAAGAGAGGAGGGGGGCAGTGGAAGTATATTACCACCATACGAATTCTTGGATAATGGGCAGAACATAAGGACTCACCACCAAGTCCTTACCTCTAAAACAGGAAGGATGAAGTATAGCCAAGATGCAGTAGTGACCACCAAGCCAGTTCACTCCACTTCCACAGTAGTTTGCTCAACTTTTGGAGCAACCCAAGATCCAAGAAAGGAGTGGTTTATCTTCAGATAATCACAACTTGTCCTCTTGCAATTTTAGCATATCCCCTATCCCAGCATTGCCTATGTTTCCAACCGATAAATGACATCAATCATAAGTAATATCATCAGAAATTCCCACCTCTGATGTATTTTGTTTGATGCCATTTTGGACTGGCCGTTGCTCATCAGATCCAGGATTAACCACATCCCATATGAAACCATTCTCATTTAGTGGCGATAGCTTATCAGATTCTTTATCCACAGCTCGAGAACGACTTGCATTGTATGATATGTATTTATCTGCAAATACCACACCAAGAATACATCATCAAATCTCCCATACATTTTATAATGTAACTGGAAAATTAACAGTGTGTACTTCAAGCTTCTATATCCCATGGTGTGCTCCAGAAAAGAAATTTCATCTTATTCAGATATTAGATGCTATGAAGCCGCAAGTTCTGTAAAACCAATAATTATGATGAAGGCAAGAAGAGTGCTCAGCAAAAGAAGATATCACTTTGTTCAGTTAATGGATGGTGTGATAAGCGAGTGCCAATAGGGCTAA